ACTTTTTTTTTACTTTTTTCTGACCTCCGGAATGGATTCATTGGTTTTCAATGCATTCCTATGGGAAACCGCGTATCGGTTTACAAATGTTTCGCAATACAAAAAGTCCCGGAGAATGAATTAAATTCGTAAACTGAGGTACGCCTGCATATAGTTTTAAGCTTTTTGGATAGCCTAGGGAGGGGGTAACACCCCTGTTATGTCTGTGCCCCTGTGCAGGAGATTTCACATGACTTTCTGGCCCTGTGACAACTGGATTTAGAAAATTTTGGGTTGCCGTGGAAACAAGGATCGGTGATAAACCTTCAATGGTGGAGTGAATTTTCCTTCCTAGGGGTAGATTTCCTCCCACTTCCCGGTGTCTCCCTCTGTTCGTAGGTTCGAGTCGTTCATAACTCAAATGTTCGTAACCCGGGGACTGCCTGTGTGTGTGTGTATATATATATAAATATTTTGGATATATACAGTATATATGTGCTATATACAAGTGATAAACTGAAAATATATTTTATGATATATACAGTATATACATGATCCATACAAGTGATACATAATATATGATATATACAGTATATGTGATCTATACAAGTGATACATAATATATGATATATACAGTATATATATGTAATCTTCGGGCGGCACAGTGGCTTAGTGGTTAGCACAGCTGCCTTGCAGTAACTGGGTCATGGGTTCAATTCCTGGTCATGGTGCCTTTTGCATGGAGTTAGCATGTTCTCCCTGTGTTTGCTTAGGTTTTCTCCGGGTGCTCCGGCTTCCTCCCACACTCCAAAGACATGCTGGTAGGTGAATTGGCTCCTGTCTATATTGTCCTAGTTTCATCCCTGGCCATGTGGGATCTCCTGCATGGTGGGGGTTGGGGAAAGACCTGGCAACCTACCCTGTAAAATAATTGCTAAGAGAATTCATGGAAAAAGTCACTTCCGAGTGACGGTCCGTGCAATCACCAAGGATCAGATACCACTGAATAGATAGATGTGATCTGTACAAGAGATTCATAATATACAGTATATAAGTGATACATACATTTAGAATATATATAAGTGATATGGAAACTTAGAATTTATATTTGCTGACTTTTGAAATTTATGAATTTCAGTGGCTGCTTTCATGGACTCCTTTGGCATCACAGGCCGGTACAGCAGCCAATAGAAAGGGGCCAATCTTTCCCTGCTGGAATTTTTAAAGTATAGCTAAAGGCAAAACTTGATGGAATGGATTAGACCCCCCGGTCACCACCGCCCGACCGAAGTCACACCGCCCGACCGAAGTCTCACCGCCCACCGAAGTCTCACCGCCCGACCGAAGTCAGAAGTCTCACCACACCGCACCGCCCGACCGAAGTCAGTCTCACCGCCCGACCGAAGTCTCACCGCCCGACCGAAGTCTCACCGCCCGACCGAAGTCTCACCGCCCGACCGAAGTCCCGCCCGACCGAAGTCTCACCGCCCGACCGAAGTCTCACCGTCTCACCCCGACCGCCCGAAGTCACCACACCGCCCGACCGAAGTCACACCGCCCGACCGAAGTCTCACCGCCCGACCGAAGTCTCACCGCCCGACCGAAGTCACACCACCTGACCGAAGTCTCACTCCAGGTGTCATTGTAGTTTACATAGTTGCTTTGGACCAAGCTGGCTAAAACAAACTATGACCTTCACCGACAGATACGCCCGCTGGGAGAGCTTTATAAATTGTATACGGCATCCAATACATAGAGTATACAGCACTGGGGTACGACGATCTCCTGGTCCGAGGAAAATCGAGTTGGGCTGCTCAGCCAGTCACAGGAAGCCTTACATTTAATGGATGGATGCAAGGCTTCCTCTGGTTGGCTGAAGTATAGAGGTGGGCGGATGATGTCACAATGCTAGAATACATGAAGAATTATTACAAGACGCATTGTATGGCAAAGGGTGGAGTTAAAAGAATAATCCTACTGCCATCCTTTACAAGATTTCATATATTTGTTACAGGTAAAGTGATACTAAAAGCCACAAATGTCCTATATTGCACCATGAGATGTGGCGGCTGCATTAGTTTTCTTGTCGACTTTTCCCCCTCTGTTTTCACCTGGTGATCTGGCCAGTAACACACCTCCTGTACTAGAGCGCCCCCACTCTGAAGGAAGGAGCACAGGGAGGACGCAGCAACAATGTCAGTCTGAAGGGAGGGGAGTGTTAGATGGACTAGCAGATTTAGATACACAAAAAAAAAATGAAATAAATTCCGCCCCACGTTTTATAATCAGTTACAGCGAACGGTTTTGTTCCTTTTGGGACGAAGGTTTCACATCAATAAAAAAATAAATATATAAGATGATCATTGTAAGCACCCCTGTTGGCTGGTAAATGGTTTGTCTGATCCCCTCTAACTGCTACATTTGCAGCTTGATCTGTTGAAAAACAAACTTACTGGCCAGATCGTCAGGTGAAAATAAAGGAAAGAAAGCCTGAAAAAGAAAACGAATGCATCCGCTACATCAAAGGCTCCATACACACTGAAGGGGGGGGGGGGGGGGCTGGTAACGTTGGCTGTGGAAAGTCATGTTAAAAAAATGGAGTTTTGCAGCTTTTTTTGTTTTTTTTTTGTAAAAAAAAAGCCCAAAAACGCCAATTTGTGTTTGCGTTGCCTATTACGTTTTGACAATAAATCCTGGAAGCTGATTGGTTTCTGTGCACAGCTGCTCCCGATTTTGCACCCTCCAGTTTTAGTAACGCCCCCCTGTGTTTTGGGGTTTAATATCGCTTTGTTTCATCCTCACCGCCCTCTTTGACTGTCACATAACTGGAACTTTCCATGAGGTGCACGACCTTGGCATGTTTGATTACATGGGGTACGTAAATATGAGGTCGCTAGTGACACCAATACAGTGATCTGATACACCGCACTAATGACACTGGCAGAGAAGTGGTTAACATCTAGGGGCGATCAAAGGGTTAAGTGTGTGCTTAACTGCTCACCCGCAGCAGCTTTATAGCAGATATGCTGCTACAGGGTGGCAGGGGTGCACAAAATCACGTATATATACGTGATTTCGCATTTCTGGGTAAGGGGCGCGTGAGCCCCGCCGCCGTCAATCACCGGGTCCTGGCTGGTGATTACTCAGCATCTCCGACGAGGAGGAGAACTGTTTTGTTCTACTAACAGTCTTCCTCCCTGTCAGCTCGGGCACACCACAGAGCACAGCCATCCAGAGCAGTGTGAGTACAGTGAAGCACACAGACCCCGCCCCCTAGTAAAACACTCTCAGCACACAGTTAACCCTGTGCTCGCCCCTCACGTTAACCCCTTCCTGCCCAGTGCCATTAGTACAGTGTCAGTGCTTTTTTTTCCAGCACTGTATTGGTGTCACTGGGGATGTCAGCGACAACAATTCAGTTCCCCTCCTCCCCAGTGTCAGAATGTTTGCCGCAGTCCCACTAAAAGTCGCTGATCGCCGCCATTACTAGTAATAAAAAACAAAATCCCAGTATCTATCCCACCATTTGGGATTTTTTTTAGCAAAGACATGGAGCGGAATACATTTTGGCCTAAATTTATGATAAAATTAGATTTTTTAAAATTTTTTAGCAAACAGTCCAAAATATTTTTTTTCTCAAAATTGTCAGACTTTTTTTTTTATAGCACAAAAAATGAAAACCACAGAGGCGATCAAATACCAACGAAAGAAAGCTCTCTTCGTGGGGAAAAAAAAGACGTAAATTTCATTGGGGTGCAGCGTTGCATGACCGCGCAATTGTCAAAGGGAGGAAAATCCTCTGTAGGGCGAGGGGGGGTGGGAGTTTTGAGGAATCCTCTGGAGGGCGAAGGGGGTGGGAGGTTGGGGGAATCCTCTGGAGATGGAGGGGGGTGGGAGGTTCAGGGAATCCTCTGGAGGGCGAGGGGGGTGGGAGGTTGGGGGGAATCCTCTGGAGGGCGAGGGGGGTGGGAGGTTGGGGATAGTCCTCTGGAGGGCGAGGGGGGTGGGTGGGGTTGGGGGAATCCTCTGGAGATGGAGGGGGGTGGGAGGTTGGGGGAATCCTCTGGAGGGCGAGGGGGGTGGGAGGTTGGGGGAGTCCTCTGAAGGGCGAGGGGGGTGGGAGGTTGGGATAATCCTCTGGAGGGCGAGGGGGGTGGGAGGTTGGGGGAATCCTCTGGAGGGCGGGGGGGTGGGAGGTTGGGGGAATCCTCTGGAGGGCCAGGGAGTGGGAGGTTGGGGGAATCCTCAGGAGGGCGAGGGGGGTGGGAGGTTGAGGGTATCCTCAGGAGGGCGAGGGGGGTGGGAGGTTTGAGGAATCCTCAGGAGGGCGAGGGGGGTGGGAGGTTTGAGGAATCCTCAGGAGGGCGAGGGGGGTGGGAGGTTTGAGGAATCCTCAGGAGGGCGAGGGGGGGGTGGGAGGTTTGAGGAATCCTTAGGAGGGCGAGGGGTTAAACTCCAAGCTTTCTGCATTCAGTATATACATTGTATCTATTCATGTTTATTTAGAAACATTGTAGCACTGCTGTCAGAGGAACAAAATATTGTATAATTAAAATAATAAATATTGTATCAGAACACAAAAAATGGCCTGGTGGCTAGGGGGGGAAACCTCAGGAGGGGGAGAGGGCAGGAATCCTCGGGGGGGGGGGGGGGGTGTTAACAACATGTAATGTGTGTAATGAGCTCCTTTCACTTTTCTGTTTTTTTTCTCCCTGCTTTGTGTATTGTGAAGAGTGATCTGGTTGTTTCTTCTCCCTGCAGAGTTTTATGTTTTTGTAAACACAGAGCACCGGGTGTGAGTGGGCACGACCGATCGGCTGATTCCAGCTCAGACCAACTGCCATACATATGCTGTGATGGGTCAGCAGGGTTCGTGTACAAGAGCGCCCCCAACCCCGGGAGAGGGTGGATCACGCACATGCACCTGCCCCCCGCTCGAACTGTAATTCCTGGTCGGCAGGTAAACAAAGAGTGACAACTGAATTGTACATCAATTTTTATTAAACAAAAAGGAACACAATTCACCCCACCATGGACCGCTTTCTGCCCCTCAGTCTGACCTCGTCCAGTTTTTTAATGACCGCAGCGGATTTTTTGGAGGAGGCGGAGTAACTGTTTAGCAGAGCGCTGAAGACGTCCTCCGTGTTGGGGTGAGTACTCAGGAAGGCCTTCTCCAGGACGTACAGGTCCACCCCCTTGTCCTCCGGGAGGGCCGAGATAAAGCTCAGGCCAAAGTCAATGAGGACCAGGTCCAGGTCCTGGTGGGGGGGCCGCAGAAGCATGTTGGAGGTGGTCAGGTCCCCGTGGACGACGTCCTCATCGTGCATACGGGCCAGAACCCGACCGATCTTCTCCGCCAGGTGGCAGAGATTTCCGCCCTTCTCCTGGACGGTCGTTACGTAGTCCCGCACCATCGCCGAGCCTTCAATGTCCTCCATGTAGATGCAGTTAGAGACGTAGTCCACAAAATAGAGCGCTGGAGCGGGGATCCCTGAAAGCAGGAAGAGACGGAGAATCGCTGAATGGATGAAGACATGACTGCAGATCCAAACACAACCAACCAACAGACAGACAGACAGACGTGATACAAATGCTGGCCAGCCAGTTGGGGGACAAGTCCCAGAGATCTGCCAGGACTGAGGACAGGCGAGGCTTCACAGCGTTGGCCGCTCTCGTCAAAACACACAGAAAACGCGGCACCGGAACAGCCGGCACAGCGGGGTGAATGCGGCCTTTTCTTGTCCAACGCACACCAATAGGACATGCTGAAGAAACGCAGAGCAGCGGGTGAAAACACCGCCTCTGAACGCTCACATGTACTGCTGCTCTATTGATGACCTGCGTTTCACATAAAAGATGTCGAGGGTTGCTGGGGAAGGGGGGTGTAAATTAATAGAAAAATTTACAAAAAGAAAGATGTCATTTAAGAATATAAAAAATATAACTACAAAAAGTTTATCTATTACCTTTAAAAAAAAAAAAATCTATAAATAAATAAATATTTTTATTATTTTAATGCATTTACTTTATTTAAAATAATAACTATATAATGAATTCGATTTAATTATTTTTATTTACGTTATACAAATAAATATACAAATCTTTATTTCAAATAAATAAAAAATATTATTTTTTATAATATATAAATAATAACTATATAATGAATTCGATTTAATTATTTTTATTTACGTTTATACAAATATACAAATCTTTATTTCAAATAAATAAAAAATATTATTTTTATAAATATTTTTTATTTATTTGAAATAATTATTTGTATGACAATTGTTACTTTTATTCTAATTACTGTTTGTACTTTAACACTTTAAAAATATATATTATTTGCATTTATTACTTATTTACTTTATTTTAAATAATTATTTTATTCTGTTTTATTTTTATAATATTTGTATTTATTTTAAAATAATCATTATTACTTATTTTGATTTACTTTATTTTAAATAATAATCATGTTATTATAATTACTGTTTGTACGGTATTGTATATTTAATTACTTCATTTTAAATTATATTTATTCTACTACATGAATATTTTTTTTAATTTTCCATAAGTTTTACTTATCTATTTTTATTTTAAATAACTATTATAATTATTATTTTTAAATATTTTTAAACAATACCTCATTTAAAAATTTTTTTTAAATGGTCATTAAAATTTGTTTTCATGTACTTTAAATAATTATTTTTAAATTAACGTTAGATAATATTTCATAATAAATGTTTTCCTTTTAGATTGTCAACTTTAGGAGTGGGGCCTTGCTATTCCTTTTACATTGACCTGTATTATAATTGGACTCCCCCCTCCCTTATATTGTAATGCGCAAAATGTTGGCACCATTTACATCCTGTATTATTAAAAAAATAATAATAAATAATACCAATAATAAAATCATAATAAATAATACCAATAATAATAGAAATAATAATAAAAACTAATATTAATAATTAAAATAATAATAATAAAAAAATAATAATAAAATAATAAAAAAAAATTATAATAATGAAAAAAAATTAATATTAATAATAATAACAAACAAAACAATAATAGTAATAATAATAATAATAATAATAATAAAAAAAAATAATAATAGTAATATAGAAATAATAATAATAAATACCAATAATAAAAATACCAATAATAATAATAAATACCAATAATAAAAATAACAATAAATAATAATAATAATAAATAAAACAATAATATAAATAATAAAAATAATAATACCAATAATAATAATAATAATAATAAATAATAATAAATACTAATAATAATAATAAATAATACCAATAACAAAAATAATAATTAATAAAAATAATAATAAATAATACCAATATTATAAATTTGGCTCTTTGCACCCTCTAGTACAGCGGTTCTCAACCTGTGGGTTGCCGGTTAACTGTTGGTTGCCCGGCAATGCATTTAGAGTGAGAAGGAATTGTTGAGTCCTGAAGGCAGAACCCGACACGGGAGGGGTGTGGACTGGAGGTGTACAGGAGAGGTGACACACGTACACAGGAGCTCTGGGGACAGCTTCCAGCAGGCGTGGACACCGTGCAGCAGAGCCTGGCTGTGGAGGGAGCCGCCCGGGGTGAGTCCTTCTATTGTGACAACACTGCTACAGCGTGTGTGCTGGTTCAGTGTGTGTGGTCAGAATGTCACCTCTGTGCCTCTCACTCATAACAAGGACAGTGCCATGGAGGGACAGGACTGCTGTTTACTGACTGGAATCCCCGGAACTTCTTTTCTGTTCTCCAATTCTGGTCACCTTTGCAGAAACATAAACAAAATGTGGAAAATTTCAAGGGTATGAATACTTTTTCGAGGCACTGTTGTTTTCCTGGGTTGTGGCTAGGGCTAGGTGGAGAGAGCATTAGGCATTTTGTTGTCTGTTTAACCCCTTCCCGTCTGGCTGTTGTATATAAACGGCCGGATGGTGGCAGTGCAGGGGCAGGTGGATGTTTATAAACAGACTCCCCGACCCCTGCTTGTGCGCTCTTCCTGGGAGCGCGCAGCACCGGGATCCGGTTCCCGCTGACACAGAGGAACACCGATCATCGTGCAGGACCTCTGTGCGAGGTCCCGATCATGTGATCACTTATTGGCCAATCAGTGATCACATGAACAGTGGTAAGCAAGATGTCACTTCTGACATCATTGCTTACTACTTGTGAAATCTGTGAATGATCACAGAGGTCACATGGTATAGGGCCATTCACAACAACCTTGTACCATGTGACAAGCTGTGACCAATCACAGCTCACAGAGTAGTTCTCAATGCCTGCAAGAATGCAGCCAGAGAGGAGAAATGATTCCTCTTACAAAAGGAAAAGCAATCAGTGTAAAAAAAAAAAATCTTCATCACTCCCCATAATGAAATATTATTTATTTGCAAGAACATTTTATTATTTATTTTATTTTATAAGAACACTTTTTTTTCCACAATTTTTGGACTTTTTTTTTATATAGCAAAAAAAAATAAAAACCCCAGCGGTGAATAAATACCACCAAAATAAAGCTCTATCAGTCTCATAAATCATATGGGTACAGTGTTGCATGACTGCGCAATTGTCTCCGCAGGGTTCTCCAATGAGAAAGGGCACAGCGGCCTCTAGTGGCTCACCCGCCTCCCTGCGCCTTCCCCAGGTTTCACCTATAAAGGGCACAGCGGCCTCTAGCGGCTCACCTGCCTCCCTGCGCCCTCCAATACACACAATTATAGAGAGCACAGCGGCCTCTAGCGGCTCAACCGCCTTCCAGCACCCTCCGCAGGTTTCTCCGCAGGCTCAGCGCCCTCTGGTGTCTCACCTGCCTTCCTACACCTGAGTATAGCGCGCCCCTCCTGAGCCGTCCTCCGGTGTGTGAGCTTCTCGTCCAGCCCGGGGTGTCTGTAGGTTTTGGGGAACCTCTCCTTCACCACCGCCGCCTTCCCCAGGAACTTCCCCCGGTACACCCGGGCCTCCGCGCCCTGCTTCATCAGCTGCAGCCCGTCCAGATACTCCCGGCTCCTCCGCCTGCTCTCACACTCCGCCTGACAAGCCATGGCTCCGGCTCCGACAGCACTCCGCAAAGAGCGTAAGAAAGGTCGCTCAGCGAGCCCGCTGCGCCACCTCCTAGCGTAACTCCAATGAAGAATAGCGGCTCGGCGTATACCTAGCGCAGCATTAAAGACGTTCCGGCCGGAAACTGAAGTCCTGCAATAAAGTTCCGGAAGCAGAATTGGAGCGTGCTGCGCTCCTGTATACAGCAGCGCTATGAGAGTTCTCAAATTCCCATAACGGCTTCCTACAACACAACATAAATGACCAATCATATCAATAAATAATTATATATAGAGAGATGGTTCTCAGAAACCATAGCAACCAGTGTTTATGAGTGTAAATCCAGTAATTAAAGTGTATGTAATTGCAGTGTTGGGTGTAGTAGGGAAGGGTTAGAATCCTGGCAGGTCTTTGTTGCTGTTGGTGCACCCGCGGGGAGCTACACCCTTCGTGGAGTGACCAAAACAACAGGAAATCCAAAAACTTTTCAGTTGTCACGGTAACAGGAAGTGCTAGGGGTCTGGTTCCCCTGACAACTGTCGATGAGGGAAATTTCTCTCATTTTGGGACGACTTCCTCTCGCTTCCTGCCATGGGCTCATTCACAGAGGCCTCTACAACGCTGCGTTTAGGCCTCATTCACACACTGGCATCGTCAGACCTGCGTTGAGCAGACATTTCTCTGTGGCGCCATTTTACACATTGCTAGAGGTGTAGGCCATTTCCGTACATTCTGAAGCCTGGTTGAAAAACTCCCAGAGATGGCATTATCCCATCCTGTCTTGTTGCTAGGGCGTTGCTAAGACACTCCCAGCAGATACGAACCCTCTCAAATGCCCTCTTTCCTCTGGCACAGGAGCTCAACGATGCTGAAATGGAGGAGACAGTGGACCACACATGTGTATGTGTGTGTGGTGTGTGTGTGTGTGTGTGTGTGGGGGGGGGGGTTTGAGAGCTCGCTCCTGTGATGGTGGGGGTGAGCAGCAACAGTGGGAGCATCTTAGCTACATCCTAGCAACAAGGCAGGACAGGATAATGCCATCTCTGGGAGTTTTTCATTAAGGCTTATACCTATAGAAAGGGTGTTATTCACTCCCCTGATGCAGCAGCTCTAAGCAGAGGATTTGAGAGCTTCTTCTATGATGGTGGTGGTTGTGAGCAGTTATGACTAGTCCTCTCTTAGCAACATCCTAGCAACAAAGCAGGACAGGATAGCGCCATCTCTTGGAGTTTTTCATTAAGGCTTATACCTATAGCAATGGCGTTATTCCCTCCCCTGAAGAAGCAGCACGAAGCAGAGGATTTGAGAGATTCTCCTATGATGGTGGCAGTGAGCAGTAATGATTAGTCCTCACTTAGCAACATCCTAGCAACAAAGCAGGGCAGGATATCGCCATCTCTGGGAGTTTTTCATTAAGGCTTATACCTATAACAATGGCGTTATTCACTCCCCTGATGCAGCAGCTCTAAGCAGCGGATTTGAGAGCTCTTTCTATGATGGTGGAGGTGACTAGTTCTCACTTAGCAACATCCTAGCAACAAGATAGGATAATGCCATCTCTAGGAGATTTTCACCCAGGCCTCTGGAGGTATGTAAGTGACCTCCATCTATACTGATTTTTCCAACTTTAGTTAAATCTCCACCGTTTGTCTTTTATCTATACGCACCCCTTACCAGCATAGGCAACTTTTTGGTAAACGTGAACTAACCCTTTAAGCACATATTTTATGCAGGATCTTCTGCCAGCCGGAACCTTAGGCCTCATTCGCCTTTTTTTTCCCCATTTTGGTTCTAACCTCGGTCACTTATTATTGCCATCTGTGCGTTCACCTTTGCGGTTGCAGGCATCATCCCGGTATAACCACTCAAACTCCAGTGGCGTAACGTTACGTCGCTGAAGTGGTTAATGCAGCTGCAAAGAAACCATGCAACTTATATCAGCGTAAAACAAGATGGTTCCTGATTGGTCGGACCTCTCCATAATAAATACACCTGAGGATTGTGTAGACACCATACACACTGCAGGTGGCTGAAGAAGACAGATGGATGGAGAGATTTCTCCGATGTCTCAGGAGATGAAGAGCCTTCCAGAGGATTAGTGCAAAGCTGTAGAAGAGAAGGATGAGGCGCAAGGCGGCCAGCAAAGGGGAGGAAATGTACAACTATTAGATGGCAACAGTGTATTTTTTTTTTTCACTACAAAGTAACTTTTTTATGAATCCTTTATACAATGTATCTGTACACAGCGAAGAAAAACTAAATAAATAAAGTTTTCATCCACATGAACTGTCACATATTCAGAGCTACACATTGTCGTACAGCGATCTGACGGTATTATTGATGCGATCGTTTACATATTTTGGTGACACGTGGGCAGGGCTGTCGAATGCGCCTATTGCGAAAGTATTTTTAAGGTCGCATTCCACAGCTTTATCGATTCATAATCAGCGCAGAGATTGTTCATACAAACGTCACAAGGTTGCATTTGTTTACATTCAGTGAATTGTAAAGGGCTGGGAATCGCACAGGAACGCATTGTGTTTTCCCGTGCCATTCACATTCAGTTCTGTTCGCTTCGAATGGGCTGAAATCGCAGCGCACCAAAAGTAGTGCATGCGTCACTTTTACAAATGAAAAAAAAAAAATCAAGGGAAGCGCAACCTAGCGCAATAAAACCTTTTATTTGCATGATATACCACACAACATAAAATGCTCTCACATGATCAATAGATAAATCGTTCCTTAGCCTTGGTCCACGGTGATGCGGTGCGGAATTTGCAACGTTTTCAGTGCAAATTCTGCACTGCATCAGAATCGCACCCCGTTCATGCAAACCAATGCGGGTGTGTAGGTTAAGTTAACAACACCCTGAAAGCGGTCTGCAAAACGCGGTGCAATGTGCAGAATCGGATCACATAGGTGTGAATCCCCGTGCGATCCGATTCTAGTGCGGACCCATAAAAGGGTCCTGCATGTTTTTGGTGAAGGTGCGGTGCGATTAGAGCCATACAAAATGTACGACTCCGATCGCACCGCACACTAATCACATGTGATATGCACAGGAATGTGCTGCAGTTCCTGTGTGAATCACATGCGATATACCGCACCGCACATATGTGATCCCAGGCTGAACATATGCACTATGGTCAGTGGCCAATCGTGATCACCTGCGATCCTCTGGTATCCAGCTGAAGATGAAGCACACTGCCAGGAGCTCTTTGTGTAACAGTAACCATGCCTTACTTTTAGAAACTCACTGCGACCAGATCACACGGTACTGCGTTTGTGACCTGTATTTGGGGTGTCACAAACTTAATATTGACACCCGCTGTAGATTGCAACTGCAACGCATTTTCACCATGGTGCTGGAAACGCACACAGAACGCGGTTCAGGTCAAAACGGGCCATTAAGGTTTCTCCTAATGAAATTAGCGACAACTCTTCGTTCCCCCAAAAATGTTTTGTTGTCATGAAGAAATATTCTGGCTACATGTTTGAAATACCAAAAATAACAAGTCAACAGATACAAATCCTGTAATATAAGGAGACTTTCCTGTCTAGGGATCCAGCGATGGTTCCCAACCACAACACCACCTGCCTGGAGTTTACATGTTCTCCCTGTGCCTGTGTGGGTTTCCTCTGAGTATTCCGCTTTCCTCCCACACTGCAAAGACATGCTGGGAGGTGAATTGGCTCCTATCTAAATTGGCCCTAGTATGTGTATGTATGAATGTGAGTTAGGGACCTTAGATTGTACGCCCCTTGAGGGTTAGGGACTGATGTGAATGTACAATATATATGTAAAGCGCGGCATAAATTGACGGCGCTATATAAGTACCTGAAATAAATACATAATAATAAATGTCCTCACCTGAGCCGATTCTTCAACCAGCTTCGGGTCCAGGCACCTATCTAAGAAGAGAAGTATGAGAATAATTTTTCGTTCCCAAACTATACTTCCCTAGCTGGATGCAGCATCAGTCCCCCGCCTCCAAGTGTGAGAACTCAGTGATCACATGACCGCCGATCGTGGAGTTCTCACTGCTGCTGTGAGAAGAGAGTGGTCAAAAGAGCAGCAGGGGGCTGATCTGCGTCAGACATTTGTGAACACAGCCAAGAATTGCACCGGCACCATGATGTACATGACCATCTTGTATCTCAGTCCAGAAAGTAGCTGGAGACCCTGAAAGATGAACAATAATAGCGCCGTGTTTCTGGATGAAGGCATTGTCTCTGTTTCATAATTCAAAGTTTCATTGATATTCATCGTCGCCATTTAGACAGAACCACCAGAGAACCTGTCAGAAGTCGGAACGTATACTTCCCAAAAGGCAGGAGGGATTAAGCCACTATAGCAACCGGTTTTCACGTCCTATGAATATTCCCGGCAAACACCTGCCGTTGGCTACCGATCTTCCGTAATGAGAAAGTCAATTGTGAACGATCACCTGGGCTCTTTTAAGCCGAATTAGCATAAGAAAGGCTGTTGCTATAGCGGCAGAAAGCTTGAAATCATATTTAATAATCTGTTGGGAAGTTTCCTCTTTGTTGCACTGTTATAGATGGTGGGAAGTGTCTGGGGATGCCAGATACTAAAAAATACATATTCGCTACAGTGTCTAGACAGGAGCTCAGCCTCGGTGAAGGCAGCCATGGAGGTTCAAGGCTCATCAAATTAATGGGGTATAGGGGTTTGAAGTACTCCAAGTGTGACCTCACAGGCATGGCCAGCTTGCTGCTTCTGAAAAGTACTGCGCGCCGTAGACGGAAAGCAAATCGTACAGAAGACAGGCGCCAGAACTTCAGGTTTTGGTGAGTTTTCTGATTCAGCATTTTTGCAGATCAAAAGACTTTATCCTGCGTGTCAATCACAAGGCCCCAGGACCAAATCCAGCCCACCAGGCCATTTCAGTTGGCCCTTACACCTCCCCTGCATCTGCTGCATTGTACCCACCTTGTCTCAACAGTCAGCAGTAGAGAGAAGGACAGAACTCCTCCGCCAGATCCTGCACTTCTC